GCAGGCAGACCTGAGCCAAGCGCCGGAGAGAAAAGTGGGGACAGTGAGCAGACAGATGAGGATGGAGAGCTGGACGCAGTGGCCCAGGGCCCACCCCTTGGCAGCAAAGTAAGTCTTCCCCCAGCTCCCCCACGGCTCTCCCAGCTGGAGCCTTGGGTGCTGATATCCTGAGCACCCAGTGTTGTCCACGACTCCATTAGTTACTGCAGCGTGAGTGCAGACCCACCTCCCTGGCCTGCCTCGTCTGTCGTAGAGCCCCAAACAGGGGCGTACTTCCAGCTCCTGGTCCCACCATAAGAAACCCCACAGCAAGATGTGGGTGGGCAGAGCTGCAGAGAAGTCTGCCTGACCCGTCAAGCCGGGGGCAAGCAGGGGTCCCATGGGGCACACTGGGGTCCTCCGAAGGTGGCCTTTGTATGTTTCAGGGATGTGAACCCCCGGGCTCACCTCTGTGAACTTCTCTGCTTTTCATTGTAGCCAACTGTGAGCTTTGTTTTTATCAGAGTTCGTTTCTGTTTTCACTTATTTTTAACTTACTTTTGCTGATAAAGACAAGCAAGGTAACCCCCCAGGGTTCCCGGGTGGGACAGCCGGCAGCGAGCAGCTTGGGGGTGGGGGGCAGAGATGATGGGCTTCCCTGAGGCCCTGGGGGTGGGATGGTCTGCGAGATGGGACCCTGGCCAGGTCTGCCTGGCTGCTCCTTGGGGAACATATTCATGTTTTTATGAGAAAAGTGTTATTTGTGCCACTTACTGAGCCTTAGATTGCCCTCCAGTGTCTGGAATATTCCCTACACAATACACTTAAAGATCAAAGCCATTATGGGGAAGAAGCTGTAAGTAATCCTGTGCTCTTGCATCTAAACAACACAGAGTTCCCAGCTCCGTAGGCAAGCGCCTCATTTGCCTAAAACCCCACAACCCCTCTCAAGGGCAAGAAGCACCTCACAGCTCTAGAGAAGCCTGCCTGCCCCCAGGGCTGCAGCCCACGGGCCTGTGTTCCGCACGCTTGCCCAGCCTCCTGCCCAGTAGTGGCCAGGCGGCTGCTCTTCTGCTCACCTAGCAGGTGTTGGGGTGCAGGTATTGCGATGGGTGGGGTGGGCTCTGGGCAGCCCCTTGGAGCTCCTTTGAGTTCTCTTAGAGCACAAGAGGTGGCTGTGCCCCGGAGGCACCCTGCTGCCCAGGGAAGGGGCAGCTGGCACTCCCCTGACTCTCTCTCACCCACACCTGCACCTGCTAAGAAGCGCCTCCTCTCCTTTCACGGCTTGGACTTCGAGGCGGACTCCGATGACTCCATTCAGTCTCACAGTCACCCCCCGAGCCTGTGTTCAGTCCCAGCAGCCACAGACAGCCTGCAGGTCAGTGGGCTGTGTGTTTGCCCCTGTCCCTCTCAGGATAACCTGAGCAGCAGGTGCCCAGATGCCAGGTGGGGGGCTGCTCTGAGAAGCAGTCTGATGCAGGGTGGTCATACCAGGTTCAACAGGCAGGGAGTAGTTTGGGGTGTGAGGTGCATGGATCCAGAAACTTCACTCTCTCCAGTCTCCAGAGATTCTGGGCTGGCAGCTTGGAAAAGTGGGGTGCAGGACAAGAACCAAGGCCAGACAAATGAGTCAGAGGTGGGTGCCTGTCCCAGAAGTAAGGCAGAACCCCCAAGACTCAAGAGCACAGGGCAGGGAAACAGCACCTTCCCTGCAGTCAAAGGGGTCCTGACGTGGGCCTGGACCTCTGTCTTCTTAGTAGGGAGCCTATACGGTACTACCCAAGCTAGGATGGTCTCGCGAGTGACAGAGGCAGGTACAGTAATCACACCCACACGTGCAGCACCCACAGGGCCATCCTGGAGAACCAGGGCATGTGCTTACCCGGCTCACTCTGGGGAGCCTCCGTGAACCCCCATTCCCTCACCTGGAAAAGGGGTGGTAGCCTCCTCCTCACAGGATCACGGTCAGGACTGGGGGCCTGGGACACTCACATGCAGCCGGGGCCCAGGGCCCATGGGTGGCAGCCTGCTCAGCAGGAGCCCTGAGCTCAGGCCCGGCCAGAGCTGGGGCAGGGCTGGGACTTCCAGGCTGATCCGCAGGCCCCTGTGGAGCTGGGGACGGCAGGGCAGGGGGCCAGAAGCTTTGGCAGTTTGGTCTCTCGTGGCCTCCAAGGTCTGGGAACTGCCCCTTTCCGGTCCCTGCCCCCGGCACAGCCAGGCCAGAAAGGAGCTGGGGCAGGAGGCTTCCTGGACCTCTCTGCACCCTGTTCCCTTGGGGACAATGCCACAACGTAGAGAGCCCTCTGCCACACAGGACAGGTGAATAACTGCCCTGCCCACTCCTCAGGGCTTCGGACTGCAGGCTGCTCTGAGCCCTGAGGCTCTGGAATGTTCCACACCCCTCCTGTGCTGCATGGCCTGGGGTACCAGGAGCTCCACCCTTCCAGACGCATGGTGCGGAATAGGAATTAAGTGCTTTCAGCATGATTTCTGAAATTAAAGGGACCTGAGTTGCAAGAGGCAGAGCATTGGGTGTCTAGGGCACCGTTAGTCAGCGCCTGGAACCCTCAAGACACGGGCTGGGGGACACATCTGTCAAGGCACTGCGCCTCCTCATAAGGCCCCCTGCAGCTGACAGGCCCTGTGTGCTCAGGCCCCCACAGATGAGCCCTGCGCAGATGAGGCCCGCTCCCTGGAGGCTGAGGTCCCGGAGGAGGCTGATGCCAAGGCCTCTGGGTGCCACCCCTGCCCAGAGGAGCAGGCAGATGGCCTCTCGCCTGCTGGACAGAACGCGCTCACTGAGCTCTGCGCACCCTGCATGATGGCCCTGGGGACCGCTGCCACACCTGGTAGGTGCCCTCAGACATGCCGGATAGTCTGTGTGGGGAAGGGGGGTCCCTGGGAAACCTGCCCTGCCACCCCAAACTGTGCAGACACACTGGCTGAGCTGCAGTAGCCGCTTCCTTCTCTGTGATTGCCCAGCATATACAGTCCTGGCAGAAGCCATGGACACCTGCTCTACCTGGGCTGGGTGCCTCCCTTGTAACACTCAGGAGTCCCAGCCTTGGCACCGGAGCTGCACACGGCCCTGGCCACCTTTGAGGGAGGACGTTTAGCTGCTGGGCGGGAAGGATGTGCAGGTTTCCCTGAAATAGCTGGCATCACCAGTGACTCAGCCAACCATCCCAACCACGGGCAGGGCAGCTCCAGACCTGGGACTGGCAGGCTGCCACCGGGTGCTGCTTCCCCTGGTCCACCCTGGGCTCCCAGCTGGAATTTGCTAGAATCTAGATTTGTTTAGTTTAATTTTGTTGTCAGTTTGCTTCACAATGAAATCCCAAATTGCTGTCTGTTCCCATGCCCTGTGGGAGTGTGTGCACTGGGCTCGGGAGTTCAGGCACCTAGTGATCTAGGAGCAAATCAGATCACAGGGGCAGCACAGGCCTCCCACTCGTGTGCACCTGCCAGGCCGTAGCTCGCAGCTGGCTGTGGGAAATGTGGTTAAGACCCCATCTGCCAGGAAATCAGTCCACTTCCCATTTTCCCTTTTTGTTATAGGGACCATAATCTCATAATCACACTCCAATTAGGGTCCTGGAGGCATCTGTGGGGAAGGCAGAGCTTTACTTCACCCTAAACAATGAGTAAATGAATCTGCATCGACCAAGCCACAGGACGGAAGCAGACAGACTTCATTTCCTCCCACAATCCCTAATCACACCAAACGTGGATGGGGCACAAGGGGTGGGAGAGGCCCAGAGACATATCACTGTGCCCAGAAAGCCACCTGGGAGACAGCAGTTCTGAGGTTCAGCCCTGCTCCGACCAGCTAGCTGCCCTGTTACACTGATTCTAAAACAGTTTCGCCTCATCTCCTGAATGAAAGTATCTCACAGTTGATGTGGTAAGAAAGGAGTGTGCTGGTGTTTGACTGGTGGTCTGGTCTCTTTCTTAGTTGTGCATCAGACAGCCTCCGAGGTCTGAGATGCAGTGAAATGTGGCGTGCTCCTTGATGAGACCGCCTACCCTCCAGCCTCCGTCTGCACTGTAAGAAGGAGTTAACGCCCCAGTCATCGGCCGCCACAGGCACTAGGGGGATGGCTCTATATGTCGTCTCCTTCTCCATCACAAAGTATCACAAACTTACTGGCTTAAAACCCACATTCATCATGTCACCATGGGCTGGAAGTCCAGCAATGCCTCAATGTGTCCTCCATAAAAAAGTGTTGCTGGGCCAGAGCCTCACCTGGACCTGAGGGCCCCCTCCCAAGCTCATTCAGATTGTCTGCAGAATTCAGTGCTCCAGCACGGCCCACTGCACATCAAGTGTGGATATAGCGTGTGCACACATGGCTTCCTGGTGTGCAGTTGCACATGCTGGACCTCCACGTGAGGCCAGCCCCACGTGCTCATCCTTCCCTCCACCTCCAGGAGTGGCTGTGTGCTGCCATCCAGGCCACCTGGAGCTGTGGTGGGTACTCTCTGGTGAGGACGTGGAGATTGCTTCTCGCTGGCTGGGGCTCAGGAATAAGCATTTTAAGCCATATGATGGGGGACCCATGCCACAAAAAGTGTGCAAATCATGGGCCTGGCATACAAAAGCCCCACACTGACCAGTGTGGCAAGCCTTCTCCCCTTGTGGACACTGCTAGGGACCCATGTCGGCCACACTTCACACTCGTGGAATTCGGGGTGGTGAAATTAGATGCATGTGCTTTGCCAAAATGGCTTTCAATGCTTGGAGCCCCAGGGAGAGTGCTGGGCAGGGACCTCCGTTTCCTGAAGTTCTTTGGAGACATGGCATCTGCCCCACCCTTATTTTAGTTTGAGGATATCAGCCCCATCATATCAAAGGGATGCCATCATGTCTTCATTGTCTCTGCTCGTTTTTCTTTATTGGGAAACACGTCCATCGGCGTTTTCACTCCAGATAACTCAGACCCACTCTCACTCCAAAGGGACACATGTCGTCAGGAATGAGCAGCTCCCCTCCCAGTCCTTGGCCGACGTGGACATCTCTGATGAGGAGAGCGCCGGGGCTCGCAGCCTGGCCCGCCACCGTTCCAGACCCAGATGCCAGGCTTTGCCTGGGAGCCAGGTGAGTGGCGGAGCCGAGTTCCTCTTGACGCTTCTGTGGGCGGGACCTTCACACCTTAACACCAAGTCACATCAGAGGAAGTAAAGCTTTCAGTGTTTTAAAACTGTAAGATCACACAAGCTTACTTAGAGATACACGAGGCCAGTAAGATAGACATTTTTTACTGAAGTGAACCTCATGTAAAATTAACCATTCTAAAGTAAACTGTTTGCATGCATTGAGTACTTTCACAGTGCGGGGCGACCACCGCCTGTCAGGTCCACAGCATCGTCATCCCCCAGGGGAAAGCCACCCCCCACTAGCAGTTCCTCCCCACCCCTCTCCCCCGGCCCCTGGCAGTCGCCAGCCCCTCTCTGCCTCTGCGGATCTGCCTACTCCGGATATTTCTTACCATCCGAGTCCTGAGTCTGTGGCCTTTAGGTCTGTCTTCGTTACTTAGCATGACGTTTTCAAGGTCCATCCACACTCTAGTGTATCAGTGCTTCATTCCTTTTGATGAAAATACTATTTTATGTTCTATCAGGCAGTATGTCTTTTACAAGAGGAGGGAATCATGCTATTTTATACCTTTAGCTGACTTCATATAGGTTTTAAGAAAATTCAGCTTAAAATATTTAATACCTGTCCAGTCGGTGAGACTCACTCACATTGCAGACGTTGATTATGAGGCAACTTATCACAAGATTCCTTTGAGTACCCTGGGTTCCCTTTGCTGAATTTCAATCATGATCCTGTTTACAGAGAAAGGACTCAGATTTGAGAAAGTACATTTCACGGGGGGTGCGGGGGGGGAAGGCAATAGTGTTTTATACAAGAACATCATGACCCGGTGACACAGACTCGTAAAGTCTCTGATGACTGTCAGGCCTTGGCACCTACGGCTGAGGTCCTGGTATTGGGGCCATTTTGTAGCTGATGAATCTGGAGGCAGGAAACTGGAAGGAGCGCAGGTGGGTGCAGATTTCTGAGCGGCAGCTAAGCGGAAGTTGGCCTCATGCAGTTTCAGGACCTGGGTTAGAGCAGGCCTAGCTTCCTGTGCATGCTCATGTGTGGCACAAACCTCCTCCTGGGCCCCTTGGGAGACTGGGGGGCACTGGTGGAGCTTCCGTTCAGGGGGCCATGGCTCTGGACTGTCAGCTGGAAGGATTGACTAAATGTTGAGCAGGTCAGGAAAGACCTGGAAACAGATGATGGAAGTGGATGGTGCGCATACAGTTGTGGTTGCTGCAGTCCAAGGGGCCAGGGAGGTGCTGCTCTGCAGGGACTCGGGCCTTCCCAGCCCTCTCACCCCTCTGTGCACTCAGGCCATTTGGGAGGAGGGCTGGGTGGCTCTGCGGCTGCAGGCACCGACTGCTCTGCTGGGGCCCTGAGCTAGACCAGCTGCCCCGGGCATCGGGGAACATGCAGAGCCCGGAGGAAGCCCTCCACGCCTGCCCACCCTCAGAGCAGCACTTGTAAAGTCAGGCCTCAGACATGCCCGCGGGGACCAAGAGTTCTCTGGAACAACGGCTCACTGGGGCTGACCTGAACAGCCTTCCTGTTGCCTGTTGTGTCTCTGTATTTGTACTCAGTAGACTTCCGGTGAGGGTATTAAGGAAGACTCTCAATAAATAATCACTCATGCCAAGAAAAGGCCCAAGAGGCCCATGGTACAAAGGATGCTTCCACGGGGCTGACATTGAGGAGGGGCCAGGAAACAGCCGTGGTGGGGCGTGAGCCCCACTCGGCAGGCCGGCCCCAGGGCCACGATGCCATGCTCAGGGGCAGACACTGACTGGGATTTCCCACGACAGCCTCACCTCTGGCAAATCATGGCCGTACGTGCCAATCTATGGCCTGTGCCTGCACCACGTCTGTACATTGTAAGTCTTAGCTTTGTTGCTCACAGGTTGAGAGCACCAGGAGTTCATGCCAAGTCTTACGTCTGCCCGGGTCTCAGCAGCGTGGGGCTCGTCGGAGGGTGGGGGCGGGGGGGGCAGATGCCACCACCAAGGCAGGGGCGCTTTGGTGGAAGGGAGGAGGCACAGCTGCATTGTGGAGGCGGCTCATGAGCACCTAAGGAGCAGGCGTTCCCTGGGGGCGTCTGGAAAGGGCCAACGGCTCCCATCCCAGATGAATCCACAGACGTGTTGTCCACGCTGCCCTGGAGGCCTCCACCTCCCGAGCCCTGGACGGGGCCTTGCTCAGACAGCCCCCTGCACCCCAGAGCTCCCCTCCTGGCCCGATGCCTCCAGCCTCTCCGTGGCTCTGCTCTGCTCCCCACGCCTCCCCAACCCCCGATGAGAAATTTCCAAGTTCTGTTCGTGGATGTTTTTCTTCGTTTTTCACCCTGGAAGTGACATTTCACGGTGACGGCATTGGCGCTGTCGGCCAGGCTCTTCCCCTCCAGGACTGAAGTGGCAGCCATGTGCTGTGTATGCGCCACACCCCTCAGGGAGACCGGGGCTGTCTGCTGAGACCCCCACCGAGCTAGTGATGGCACCTCCTAGATGCCCAGTGCGCTCAGAGGTGGTCTCAGTTACCAGTGACCCCTCAAGGCCAGGGCTGAGGGCCGAGGGCCAGGGGCTGAGGGCTGCGGGCTGGGGGCTGGGGCTGTGGGCTGGGGCCGAGGGCCAGGGGTTAAGGGCTGGGGGCTGGGGGCTGGGGGCCAGGGGTTAAGGGCTAGGGTTTGAGGGCTGCGGGCTGGGGCCGAGGGCCAGGGGTTAAGGGCTGGGGGCTGGGGGCTGGGGGCCAGGGGTTAAGGGCTAGGGTTTGAGGGCTGCGGGCTGGGGCCGAGGGCCAGGGGTTAAGGGCTGGGGGCTGGGGGCTGGGGGCCAGGGGTTAAGGGCTAGGGTTTGAGGGCTGCGGGCTGGGGCCGAGGGCCAGGGGTTAAGGGCTGGGGGCTGGGGGCTGGAGGCAGGGAATGAGGGCCCTACTCACCGAAAGCCTCAGCTGGCACTCTTTAGGCAGATTTGCCCCCTCAAGGCCCTCGTTGCTATGAGGATCAGGCTAATTACCTGCTGAGCAAAAACATCTTACGCCCTGCGTCCCTCATCCACTTCCCTCATCCACAAGGTGAGCCGCAGATGAGATCATGGCAGGAAAGAGGCATCCGCTGTGCCCGGAAGCAAACTAAGAATCGATTTTCCATGTCCTTGTCTGGGAGCTAATGGACGCTGGTGACTCAGGATCCGAGGAACCTCTACCTTCGGCCACTCTGGGTACCACCTGGTGCCTCCTGACCCGCAGTGGCCAAGGCTCAGCCAGTCACTGACTCAGTGTGACCAACCTGCCGTAATTAGCTCACACGCGCTGTGCTGATCGGGGCGGCAGTGATGCGTCAGCAGCCTCAGCCCTGGCATCTCGTGGCCGTGTCACTTCTCTGCTTCAGTCGCCACCCCCCCAGCCCCCCTTCCCGTACTGCTCCCAGCTTTGCTTCACGTTCCAGAACCCCAGTGTCAGAAAATGGGCCTCACAGGTGCCCGCACCCCAAGTCACATCATGACTGGCGGCCTCGGCTTTCCTCCCGCCGCCTGGGAACTCGGGGCCTCCGCAGTGGCGAGGGCCGGCGTCCTGCTGTGGGCTGGGCTGTGTCCTCCCGCTGGCTCCCCCTGCACCTGCTGCAGGTCTTTGAGCTGCATGGAGCACCTGCTGACCCACATGGGGGGGCCCAGCAAACGCCCGGGCTCCAGCAGGTCCCGGCCGGGCAAGGAGGAAGGGCCCCGAAGCCCCTTTGCTAAGGGAGGTGAGGCGCCACCACCAGCTTCACAGGGAGAATCACTTGAGGTTCCCACGTTGAAAGCCTGCGCTCACGGGCAGCGCCGAGCCGGGCAGGTTTCCACTACACAGCCCACGCGGGGTCCTCACTCAGCCCAGGCGCCCTGCCATCCCATGCCGTGAGCTCAGGCACCTGTGGGCCCAGCAAAAGGTGCCAGAGAACTCCGTGGGTGGGGGATGGTAACAGCTTTCCGAGCAGATGCAACCAGGAAGGGCTGGCAAGCCAGAGCAATGGGAAACCGGGGATACCCCACCCAACCCTGTCCTACAGCTGCTGGGGTCCAGGCCATCTGAGCTGGGGTCTGTGGATGTGTGCTTAGCACACCAGGGCGACTGTATGGTAAGAAAGCAAGACAGCCTAATGCAACCATGTGTGCATCTAAGACTGACAGACAGACAGCCGGGGTGCTCATCCCCAGGCCCAGGCCCTGTTCCGTCTGAGCCACAGTCGGTCCCATGCCCGGGTACCCTCTGAAGTGCCTATGTCTGCTGCTGCCCATCTCCCTTGGGGCCAGGGCTCTGGAGAATCAGCCCTGGTTGGAGCTGGGGTGGGGGTGGATGGAGGTGGTGGCTTGGCCCTGAGGGCTTCCCCTGCACAGGGCTCAGGAGGCCTGGGACTGAGGGCCCCACGCCCAGGGCGCACCATGCTGCCTCTACCCATAAAGGAGCCCTTTGCTAACCCCACTAGGGGATGGCAGGACCAGGCGGACCATTTCCTTCCCTGGTGTTTAGATGAGGAGACTGAGGCCTACGCTCCAGTGGGTGGGGCTCCAGAGCCCATCGCTGGCAGGCAATGTGCACTGGGAGCAAGGGGGGCGTGGGATTCTGGGAGAGTCACTCTGCCCCTCATGTGCTTCAGGAGGGGCCCCCTCACCTGAATCTGTGTCAGGTGTGCCCAGCACAGACTCTGTGGCCCTGCAGGACCCCAGAGCCTGCCCCTCGCCACCCAGCCCCCAGGCTGCCCCCGCAGCCTGCTGGGTGCTGACCCAGATATCCCCAGCCCCAGGCTGCGCCTGGACGTCTGTTACCCATCTCCTCCGCCCCCACTGCAGACACCCCTTAGCGGTGCTGCGCCCAGAACCTCTCCCCTGTGGCCTGCCTGACCCCATGGCCAATGCCCCACCCCAGACTGGACTGGAAAGACAGGCTGTGCCCCACTGAGCCCCTTGCTCCAGTTCTGGCTGGACCCCCTCACTGCAGCCTGTTCTGGATACAAATCACAGCCTTGAGGACACTTAAATCAGAATCAGCTGACTCAGCACAGGGGCTGCCCCGTGGGCCCACTGCACACTCTGCATGAGTAGATGCCGCCTGCGGGATCACCCAGAGACGGGTCAGGGGCTGGACCCCCAAGAGGCCTAGGGCTCAGGAAGAGCAGAGAGAGCCCAGAGGCCTGGGTCACCAGCATCCTGCTGGCCTCCCCTGGCCAGATGCAAACGTTGGGCTGTGGTCTTGGTTGGCACCTTCAGGGTGCTAAAAACCTAGGAAGTGGCGGGGGACCTAACCCAGGGGCAGAGGGAACAGTCGTCCTCCTGCAGTGAACATGCACACCAAGGAACGCTCACTGTCCCGTTCACAACTGGGTCTCAGACAGCCCTGGGTGCCATCAGGATCACCACGAATGCCCCCACCCCTGCAGAGCCTGGTTCTGGAGGGGGCACTGCCCGCACAGGTGCTGAGGACAGGCTCATGCGGAGAATGGATGGAGATGTCAGGCAGAGCCCTGCCTCTGAGCGCGGCGCTCACCGTGCCCTGAGCCCGGCCCCCCTCACGTGTTCATTTCAGTGTCTAGTTGGCAAGGAGCCCACAGATGTGGACATAGAAGAGGCGGCCCTAAAGAGGAAGCTGGAGGAGTTGACCAGCCTTGTCAGCGACCAGGGCACCTCGTCCGAGGAGGAGAAGGAGCAGGCAGAGCTGCCCAGGAGCACCCCCGTCGAGGGCCTCCCTGGGGTGACCGCAGAGGTGAGGCCACCGGAGCCCTCCCAGCAGGACACAGGACAGGTAGGGCCAGGGAGCACCAGTTTGTGCCTAAGCCACCAGCCCGCCCTGGGGAGGCAGCCAACACCTGGTGAGCCCTGTGGGCCCCTGACAAGGGTGTGCGGGGGGACCGAGCACAGGTCATGCTGGGTGCCTAGTGCCTGGCTGACCAGCAGCTAAGAGAAAAGCGCAGAGAGGATGGGTCCTGTCCTGGTTCCAGCCTGTAGTCTCTCCTGCTGGCGGTCACACTCGGCGCCCCCCTTTCCTAGGTACGCACAGCAGCAGGCCAAATGTACAGACTGGAGGGGACCCCCCAGGGTCCTCAGGACCCCATGCAGCCTGACAGGACCCCTGACGAGGAGCTCTTGGAGCTGGAGGGCAGGGTGGCCGTGGCAGCCTCCGAGGTGCAGCAGGCGGAGAGCAAGGTACCCCCCCCCCAGCGGCAGCAGTGGACAGTGTGCTGAAGGGCTCACACACAGCACCCCCACCCCGGCACCCCCTGCCCACCCACCTTCTGCCTTGGCGAGGGGCAGGCAGAGTTTCCAGCCATGAAGAGTGGTGCTGACACCTAACCCTGCCTGTCCCATGAGGAGGGGCTTCTCTAGAAACAGGCTTAGATTTTAGGGGCCCTGGGGCTCAGGACCAGACTCCAAACCAAAGGTCATCCTGTGACCCTGAGTGTAGGTCCAGAACTTGAACATGGGTGAAGAGTGTGTTGGTGGTGTACAAAGGTAAGGAGGCCAGGGCTTCCCAGGGACAGCCAAGGCGACTGGGCTGTGCGGTGCCCCTTGGCCCCGAAGACCCATACAGAAGAGGGTTCTGCCCCCTGACTGCAGGGGGTCGGCACCCACTGCCCCTTCTCGCCTCCACTCGGCAAGTGCCCATCTGTCCCCAGGAGGAAGGTGCACGTCACCAGGGCTGTGGTGGTTACCGGCAACAAGCCAGCCTGAAGGCTTGGCATTCATTTCTTCCTTCTTGCTGGGCACACAGTTCAAACTCCTGGTACAAGGCAGGCACTGTGTAGGACACAAAAGATACAGCTGTGCTGACATCCGGGACCAAGCCCCTGCCTTCAGCGAGCTTAGTTTGGAAGGAGATAGACAACA